TACCAAAATCCGACCTCAACTCGACCCTCAAATCTTCAATTTAAACCAAGAGGGTTTTCTAAATTTTCCAACTTAATTCACCCATTAAATGTTAAAAACAATCATGGATTCGGGTAATTTAACTAATATTGAGTTAAGAACACGTGCCCCGTTATTTTCTCTGAAAATCTCCCAAAAAGCGCCTCAATCCGAGGAAGCTGGGCCACGCATTTTCTCTACGCGATCGCGGACAAACATACGCGATCGCGAAGCACAATTTTCTACTGCCCAGAAAAGACCCTAAGCGATCGCGGTGTCCTTCACGCGATCGCGAAGCACAGGATCCCAGCTCTACACGATTGCAGCCCTCTTCACGAGATCGCATAGAGAAAACGCGTGGCCCGGCTTCCTCTCAAGTTCCCCTATAGAACGCGGCATTTCCCACGCGTTCGCGTAGCACAGACTGGCCCAACCTACGCGATCACGGTTGACCTCACGCGATCGCAAAGAACAAAAATCAACACTGCCTCAACAAGCCTACGTGATCGCGGGTGCCTTCACGTGATCGTATAGAACAAATCTCACCTCTGCCCAAACAAGCCTATGCAATCGTGGACCTTCTCATGAGATCGTATAGAAGGAAACTAGTGATAGAAAATCAGCATTTTCAGCAGTTTACCAAGTCCAAATTTCGATCCGTTAAGCATCCGAAACTCACCCGAGCCTTCCGGGACCTCAACCAAACATATCATCAAGTCCCAAAATATCATACGAACTTAGTCGAACCCTCAAATCACCTCTAAAACCATGAATCATACCCCAATTCAAGCCTAATGAACTTTGAAATTTTAAATTTCTACAAATAACGTCGAAACCTATCAAATCACGTCCGATTGACCTCAAATTTTATACGCAAGTCATAAATGATATAATGAAGGTATTCCAATTTTCATAATCAGATTCCGACCCCGATATCAAAAAGTCAACCCCCCGGTCAAACTTTACAAAAATTCGACTTTCGCCATTTCAAACTTAATTCCACTACGGACCTCCAAATAATTTTTCGGACACGCTCCTAAGTCCAAAATTACCATACATAGCTATTGAAATTATCAGAATTCAAATCCGAGATCGTTTACACATAAGTCAAGATCCGGTTAATTTTTCCAACTTAAGTTTTTAATTATGAGACTAAGTGTCTCATTTCACCCCGAAAATCCTTCCGGACCCGAACCAACTAACCCGGTAAGTCATAAAATAACTATAAAGCATAAATTGAGCAATAAATGGGGGAATGGGATTATAATACTGAAAACGACTGGTCGGGTCGTTACATCTTCACTTGAAGTGTTCCTTCATGGGCCACTTGTAAAGTGTCCCAGATTTCCTTAGCAGTGGTACAACTTTGGATTCTACCGTACTCATCTGGACCGAGTCCACAAACAAGCCATTTCTAGGATTTAACATTCTTTTCCCATTTCCTCAAGTCGTCAGCAGTGCAGTCAGCTCTTGTCTTTGGCACCTTTTCTCCTTCGGCATTTATCTTCATGGTAGCCAGTGGGCCATCTGTGACAATGTCCCATAGCTCATAGTCTTCTCCTATGATGTGATCTCTCATCCTGTTTTTCCACCAAGAGTAATACTGGCCGTTGAAGAGTGGTGGCCTAGCAGTGGATTGCCCTTCCCAGTTTCCAGGTGGTGCACTCATCTTGATCTTCTCCTAAGGTGTTATCCTCTTCAAGGATAACCTGCTCTGATACCAATTAAAATTTTATACGTCAATGCCACACAAGAAGGGTGGGTGATTTGTGTGGTGTCTAATTTTCACATATACTGACTACTGAAGGACCTAGTTCTTCTAAGTGTTCCTTAACCTACTGTTGCTGAAATAGTAAATGCGGAAAGTAAAGAGCACAAGTATTTTTACGTGAAAAATACCTGGCTCAAAAGGTGAAAAAACCACGACCTACTACTCAGTAGGATTTTCCCCAACACTTCACTAAATCAATGAGCAAAAATAGCATTTACAAAACTCTTTGTAAACCTAAGGATTAACTCTAATCCCGTTGTGGCAGCCAGCCTCTAACTATTGCGACAACTTCAACTTAACTCTAACTTGAATACTTAGAGTACCTATTACAATTGCCTCTAGATAAAGATGAAAGGTACAAATTGAAAACCATCTACTTCAATTGAACTAGAATAAAAGACAGACACTTGGAACTGGTTCTTCTATCTGATTCATGTAGCTTCAGGTTCGCACACTTGAATCACACAAGAATTGTTTGCAAAATGCTTTGCTATTTTTCTCTCAACTCACTTTTAACTTCTGCTTTTGTGCGTCTTCGTAGAATGAGAACATCCTGCAATATATAGAGTTAGTAGAATAAGAAATAACTAGAGTTATAATGTTACTCTTCCTTGGTGGAAGAGTTCTAGTTATCCTCAACTTCTAACTCCTCCCTTATCTTGGATAGTATTCTCTTTGAGTAAGAAGTCCTTCTCCTTATCAAGTATGCAACCTTTTCGATCAGGAGATATCAGATATAATAAGTTAAGCTTATCTCCTTCACGTGCATTCCTCATGCTCGAATCTGCTCGTGTCTGTTTACACAGGGGATGGACCTGGTTTATGCCTGAGCTTCCTTTGTTAATCTTCAAAACAAAACTTCACTTGGCCCAACAATTCTACTTGCATAAAACCAATCCCAAAGGATGTCATAAGAATAAAAAAGACTCTAACATAAGATCTGGAAGCACAAACCAAGGAGGCAAGAATCAAGTTGTAATCACGCGTTCTATGGAAACTGGATATTCGAACCAACTATTTACGGAAGGCATAAATCAATCAGCATAAGAAGATCAATCAATCAGTATAAAAGATCAATCACGTAGATATTAGAATCAATCATTTATGGAAGGCATCATAATCAGTATAGAAGATCCTCTGAAAATATTCTCTCCAACGGCTCACAAGGAAAAGGAAATTAAGGAAGCAACGAAAGGAAAAGTCCATTCTATTTCTGGAATGAAATCATCTTGATTGATTCTGAAAATCAACTCCCTTGGGGTGCTGCTAAATCATTTCACTATCACTCCATGAAGAATGGGAACCAACTTACCATATATATTCTACATAAGACGACAAGGATTCACATACTTTGATTAAACCAAAATCAATCTCTTTGTTCTATTTCAAACAAGCATTGTAGTCTGTCATAAATTTCTTGTGTAACTAAGAAGAGGAGAGAGAGAGAAAAGAACATTGGTGAATCATTAAATCAACCATAAGAGAGAAGAACAAAGTGATCAAAAGACTGTTGGTGTATAACAACATCAACCTATCTGTACTAAGTCACTTCATATTTGAAAAAGATCACCCTTGCAACCCAAAGGGACTGGACGTATAGAACTATTGAAAGCATAAATGCTTTTGAAAAATGAAGGTGAGTAAGAATATTAAAGAGAAAGACAGAAAATATGTAGGGGTTTCTGAAATATGAATAAATCGGAAAAAGAAAGATTGACTTGGACAAATAAAGAAAGGGAGAGTAAATTTTTTACACGTAATCTAACGAAGGAGTAAGAAGTGAAAAATTGAAAGGTTGGAAAAACTATTCATTTACCTATGTTTAATTAAGTCAAATTATTACTTTATTTATGTATCAAAGAGCTTTCTTTCCTTTTATATTAAAAACTCTACTTTTGAATTAAAAGTACTAAATATTATTTTTTAAATATCTATAAACCTATTATTTTTAGAAAATAGGGCCCCAAAATTTGGGGGCTAAGGCACAAGCCTTACTACTCAACACATTAGAGCCGGTCCTGGCTACGCGGTCTCTTCATATCAGATATGAATAAAATTTACGATATAGTTTGATAGGTTATATGTGTATCCCTATTATGTTTTGATGATCTAACAAACTTACTGTCAAGAACCAGATAAGGAACCTGATACACATCCTCAAGAAATTAAAGATCAACAAGTCTCCAGTTGGAGACACAGTTCAACTCTTCAGAGTCAAAGGAACATCAGAGCTACCAGTTCCCGAGGTGACTGTACAAGTCAACAAGTCTCCAGTTGGGGACACAGTTCAACTCTTCCGAGTCAAAAGAACAACAGAGGGAACAGATAGCTACCAATTCCCGAAGTGACTGTACAAAGTCAACCACCCACAACTGTAAAGTGATTGCAACTGTTCCTCTGCATATACGCAACAGTGTAAACAGTAGAGCAGTCAACTTTATGGGGAATGCCTTTATACCAAACATGCTTACATCATTCAAGTGAGGTCACTTATGCAATATTAACATGAAGGAAAGGCAAAACAACACTTGCACACTTCAGAATCTATCAAGCCCTCTCTCAAGTGTATTGTCAACCTGCAAGTGACCTTCAAGGCGTCAAGAACAAAGAGCAACATAACGAAGAACCAGTTTCCAGCATTAAGTCATCACATGTCCTTAGTTGTGTTGCACCTTTGTTAAAGTTCTTTACTTGTAATTCCTACTTAGCTTAGTTAGAAGCATTGTGTGGGAAACCTTTGTAAACCATAAACTTCAATGTTTGTGTCGTGGCTAGAGTTAGTCATGTGTTGAAGTCTTTGTAATAGGTATACTACAAAGTGGCGTGTAATAGGTGTACTACAAGTTAGTGAGGGATTAAATCTTTGTAATAGAGTTATTACAAGGTGGCTTGTAATAGAGTTGTTATAAGTTAGTGAAGGATTAAGAGGTTAATTCCTAGGTTACATAGGTTATAATCTGAAAGTTGCTCAGTAGTAAAGTTGAAACTCTACAAGGGTAGATCGTGGTTTTTAATCCCGTTGAGCTGGGAGTTTTCCACGTAAAACTCTATTGTGCCATTTACTTACTGCAGTGTACGTACATTTTGTAGGAACAAATAGAGAACCCCTGGTTCTATAGTTTGGTGGACCCTTAAATTCTATCATATTTTAACCCCCTCATCTACTAAGAAAGTAAAACAAAAGGAAAAGTCTATTAATCGTGAATGCTAGTAAAACCGAAACAAATTTAAACAATTTTATTAGTTACACGCTCAACGAAGTGAATTACAAAATTACGATACAATCAAGATTTACTACCATGAGGTACACTTTCCACAACGTATCAGAACAGGTAAAAGAAGAAAAAAAAAAACTTATTCACAACAAAGATCTCATTGAACATAACAATACGAATTAAAGTGACTAAGCTTTTGTTTCTCTTAGTTTCGGAAGGCACAATGTTTTCTGATTTCACCTGCCTTACCAGTAAGAACTCCAATTTTGCCCATTTTTATCATTGATTCTCCAAAATCCTCGAAGAAAGTGGATCCGTAGGGATTTACTTGAGACAAAACATAAGCTTTTGTTTGAGTATCACTGAGAAGAGCTGCATCAGATGCGAATAACCCTCTTCTTTTGCTAACCATTCTGTAATAATCTGTGTCAAAACTCTTGAAACTTCCAGGGTCCATTTCGACAATGGTGGTCACATCTCCTGACTTACATTTGATCTTCAAACGACCTATGTAGTTCTGATCCATGTTCGGGTCCATGTCACCTTTGCCAGTGAAATTGTACAAACGGCTTGAGAAGGAAAAACAATGTGACATTCCAATAGTGTGTCCTCCTACGAATAAACAAGGAGAAAATAAAAGAATATAAATTTTGGATTTGTTGAATTAATGTAATTCTTCCACATGTAGTTGTTTCACGGTAAAATATCAATTTTACCTGATAAAACAACAAGGTCTTTGACATTTAAGCCCAAGGAGCCAAATGTTGTTTTAAGAGTAGTAAAGTTATCAAAAGGAGTTGGCAAATTCTTTAAGGCATCTGAGAGTATTGAAACTCTCCCATCTCTTCTTCCCAAGGGAACTGCCCAAGTTGGTCCATTAATCTGAAATAACCCTATAATATGTTAAGTATTTGAAATTCTAATAAATTGTTTGAATTTACTAAGTATTTATTTAGTTACCAGTTCAACAGCATCACGGGCTGCTAAGGCTAAAATATCAGAGCAAGATACAATGCCAGGACACTCTTTCTCTAAAGCAGATTTAGCAGCATCAATTACTTGGAATCCCCTCAGGCTTTGATTTGGAATTGCATCTTTCTCTGCTTGATTACCTTTTGTTGAATTCAGTAGTACCGAACCATCACATCCCTGCATCATTAAGTGAATATGTTATAGTGCATTCGACATGAAAAAGATCAAACAAACTAAGGTAAATACATAAGGCATTAAATCGCGGTGCTTACCCTAACAAAACAATCATGAAAATGCATTCTCAATAAAGGGGCAGCCAGAGTAGGAGCGCGAGAAATGTAGTGAGCTGTTGTTTGTTTGACAATTGCCTCTACATTTGGACATGTTTTCTTATAGAACCCTACTTCTACACCTTGACAATTAGCAACCTCTAATATGCAAAAAAGTTGAAGAATGAGAAATGAAAGAAACTTAAATGTTGCCATTATCTGTTTTGGACAAAGGATTATGAAAATCTCAATGTACTTTCTTGCTTAAAGTGATGATTGGGACACTCAAATACATGTCCTTTAAATAGGAAGATGATTGTGATATACAAATCCTTTAGTTTGATTTGTTAAATAGGCATAGCTGCAGTAATGGTAAGTTGATTTTTAAATTTAGCAGTTAGCACCTTCTAAGTGAAGCATTTTTTAATGTTATTATTGCTAATATATGCGAAATGGACTGATTACCAGAAAACAAAACAATCAGAGAACAAAAAGGAAAAAGACAACGAAGAGCTTTAATATTTTATCATGCTACTGTTGTGTGGTTGATTTGTTAAATATAGTTTTTAAAAAAGATTCAGTACTCTATCAACCATATCAAGTGCCATCGACGCGAGAATACGCTTAAGTGCAGAAGTCAGATTAAGGCTAGTTGAACGTAGATTACTCCCCAATGAATTTGGTATGTTTAAAAGTCTTTACAATTGTGGCGGTGTATATAATTTAAATCATTTTTCAAAACTATTTAATCTGAGCATTTTTATTTTTGAAAGTCTTACTTCCACCTATTTAAAAGGATAATTTCGTTACTTTGCCTATATTTGATTTACGTGACAAAAAAAACTTCCTTTATTCCTAGAGATGGAGAGTATACGCTATTCTATCTTTTCGGGCAAAATACTCATTTTGATGTTCTTTTAAAAGGTTGTATTAAAAACTCATAACCTCTTAGTTGGTAAGACTATTTTTCATATTTTTAAAGTTAAGCATTTTTCTTTTCTTTTCTCTTATTTATCTTTCATGTAGAGAAAAATTTAACTTTTTACGTAACAAATATTTCTGAATCTCTGTCGATAATAGTGGGAGAAAATTTACTCGAAACATATAGAAAAATAGCTAATAAAAAAAATGTTTGACATGTTTTATAAGCTTGATATTCAGTAAACCGAATATCAAGTTTGGTAGCGTTGACATTTTTATAAATTATTCGCTTTCAAATGCAGCAGGAGAATTTATAACCAACTCCCTCGGCCCCTTGTGTTTACCCTTAAAATAGATAACAATTAAATTTAGACGCGATTTTAAGGATATGTGGATTGATTCGACACAAGTAATCAAGAACGTTAGATAAACGAATTAAAGATAAAACAAAAAACCGAAGCAGCTGAGACGTTAAGTCCGGGCTCAGATTTAAACTTAACAATAGTTTTGCCCTCGACCGGACCCTGGATTCGGAGCCAAATGTGTATGAAGAACTATCATTAAAATAAGAAATTCTCAGCAACTAGAGAGCAGGAAAAAAAGTTTATATTCCTTTGATATGCCTGTTACAATATTTATGGAATAGAAAATCTTCCCTTTTATATAGTAGGAGAGTTTCATCCCTAGTACAACTCTAAAAAAGGTAAAAAAAAATCCTCCTTTCTTGTCAATTACTGATATGCTACCGACATCGGGCAAGATTCGCGCCATGATACTCGGCTGGGAGTAGATATCAGGGCTTTCTGTTAGTCGTGTACAACCGTTCGTAGTGCTTCCCGAGGTTTAGGAATTCGCTCTGGGTCGGGGGAGTGTTGTCTTGCCAGGTACGATGGCGAACACTCCGTTCGACCCATGGTACGAGAAGTCCCTGGCTTCGATTCTGATCCCATGCAGTCATGTCTCCGTTTCGTTTGACCCACCGGGAAATCGGGATATATGTTACCTTCGGTTTTACTCATATACACCTTGCAAATTCGTATGGTTCTAATCATATACCTACAATTTAGAGGCAAGTCCAAGATTTAAAATTTATGGATTCTGAAATTTATAATATGTACATATTTAATGAATTTTTTAATACATATGTATAGAGTTTGGAATTGATCATATATATGCACAAATGCACAATATAAACCACATCAATGATCACACAATATAAAGTTAAAAGATGAACATGAGATTTGATTCAGTTAGTGTGCCTCCAAATAAAAGGCATGAATAGAAATTACTGGATTCACACGTGAACACGAAATTAATACTAGTATAGATTCGCCCTTGCCAATGCTCACAAACCTTGCTTCAAGTGTATTCTCACTTCCTTCTCGTTGTGCTGGAATCTCACATTACTTAAGCGTATCATGAGTTATAATCTCTTTATATGATTTTGGACAATCATATCTACTCGAACTTACTTTAAGGTAGAATTACATCTAAGGTCTATTTCTCAACACAACATTTCAATTAAAAATATTACTGATGTTGTGGACTATCCAATGTTGGTATACCTATGTAATAATAATGTTACTCCACGGCCAGATGTACAAATTTGAACTTCCAAGGGTACGTTATAAGAATCACATATTGATTAATCATATGGGTTGTATACTTGTGTTCTCCTAATATACTCATGGACTATCCTGATCTCGACTTGAACTAGGTGATGGAATTTGAGTTATGTCCAACGTTCATTTTTTTAATACAATGGTACATTGGTAAAGTGAGATATATGAAAACCACCATTGATTATTATATCAATCCTTCAACTCCAAGATCATGGATAAATAAGAGGGCATGTTGGACCATAATAATTGTGTACTGATAAGAACGCGGAAGCAAAAATACAAGAACACAAATAAAAAGGATAGAAAGATAGAATTTAGCAAAGAACTAATTAGGGAATTGAAAGACACTTGAAATCTATCTCAAATACCCATTCAATTAAAACCTAATTAACCCTAGACTATAGGATAACCCTCAAGGGGAAGAATCCCCATAAAAGCCACCTTAACAAGTTTATAATCAACCAAGGAATTCATCCTTACACTCACTCAAGGAGTTCAACACTCATCAATATCATATCAAAATAAGCTAAGTCTAAAATGAGAGCCTTAAGGGTTATTTATATTAGGGAGCTAAATATTACAAGTATAGCCACCAAATATAATATAGACTTTAATTGTTGGCGAAATTGTTCATGTAGCCGCCCTATTATGAAAGTAGCCTCCAACTAGAATCCAAATTACACGATGACTATCTAGATTGTATCATGTACTAATCCAATTTCAATGCTCTTTTTTTAATTTTATTTTTTTATTTTGTAACATTGCTTTGCTAAAACTGGTAAAATAAGCTGACATACGTGGAAGAAATAAGAAGACAAATAAACTCAAGATTGAAACCAGAAAGGGACTAATATCATACAGATTGAAGTTTGCAACACTTGAACTGTAGAGTCCTATAATAATGTCTTGTTTAGCTCTAAAGTCTAAACTAAATAGTTTTTGAAGATATATAAAGCTGTCGATACAAAAAAACGCGTTGTTTATGTAGGGCATATGGATATAGTAGAGCCTGTATATTATTCCTTTAGTTGTCAGTTAGCTATATATGCTAATTATTTCTTTTGGTTATAAATAATTTAGTTTGAGTGTAGACATCAAAATTTTAGTGGATTAAGTCCATATGAAAATTGGGCTAAATCCTAAATTCAAGACACTACAAGACGACTCTTGTAATTCTAGGAGTCTATTAGGGTTGCTTGGAGGTTACTCTAAAAAAACTCTAAGTTGGAGACTATTCTACCATAACCCTAGGTCACTCCTATAAAAAGGGTTATATATTCCCTTTAAAACGAATCTTGAAACTTGAGATCATCTCGAAATTTCATAAATTTATGAAATATTCACAAAGATCAAAGAAATCACTCCCTTGGCCCCGTGTAAACAAGTTTCTCCGCTCGAACTAGTTTTTTTAGTTGAGTTATGTCCTAAATCATGATTAAAAAGAGGGCTTGTTAGACCATAATAATTGTGTACTAAACCAATTTAGATTATGTTGGATAGAGTTTAGAAAAAAATTAATATTCACTAACTACCCTATTCTTCAATTGGGTAGTTATGGATGGTAGACCTGATTCTCGTTATTCTAATATCGTCCAAAACTAGCTACTTTGTTCTCCAATTGGGTAGTTACTGATAGAAAATTGTAAAAATAGTACCATGCTATCACTTACAGGGTTTTTGTATAAAATATAGTCAGAATATGTAAAGTAATAAAGAAATAATCACAACTTTAAAAAAGCGAATTAGAAAAATAGTCACATAAAAAATTTGATTGATGTGTTGTCATAAAATTTGAAACTTATACAAGTAAAATACATTCTTTGTGTTCTGATCACAAGCATGTGAAAAAATATCTTGTGATACTTAGACATTTCAAGATGTCATTTTTCAATTATTCTTGAAGGAATCTTGGAGCAATGGTAAAATTATCTTTGTGTGATTTACATGTTATAGATTGGAGTTGTGAAAGCAGTCACTAATGTTTGGCTGTCTACATCACACTCATAGGGGTGCGATTCTTCCCCGAACCCTACGTGAATACATGATGCTTTGTGTTGCCTTTTTATTTTTCAATTGTTCGAGACAATTCATAGTAATATATCTACCACATGCATCTTTTTTGTTTTTTTCCATTTTTTTCCCTTTCATATTCTCAAAAGATAGACAAGACCCTCCACTACAATTTGAGTGATAATTAGTATTTAGTATTTAATTTTGCTAGATTTCTCCGGCCTCTTCTGTAAACGGTGCAAAAGGTTGATGAATTGAGATGTGCTCAATGTGCACTGTAGTCTAGAAACCAAATATTTCGACTCCAAGTGCAGAAGAAGCGGAGAAGAATAAATAGAAAACAAATCAGGTTTTCTATCGCTTCTTTAAGTTATAATTATTTTTCAATTACTTTATGAATTGTTGGAAATATTTAGTCCGGATTAGTTAGGCCCACATGTTAGAAATAATTTATTATTTGTATTGGGCCAAGCCCACTTCTTTGATTTTAATTTTTGCCCACAACGTATAGTCAAGGCCGGGTCACATATAAGAAGACCAAAGAGGTCTGTCTCAAATGTAATGTAAATACTCATTTTGCACAAATATGAAATAAACTCTTTCTCTCTCTCGAACACAGTAAACCCTAGAACAAATTTTCCTTGATTTCAGCTCATTTTCCGCTGTCAACATGGTATTAGAGCCCGGAATCTCGTAGATCTGGTTGCCCTCTATCGTCCGATATTACCCTTGAAGAGTATCGTTGGA